ATAGCGCTGCCCCGCGGCGCTACGACCGGAGTGTTGGTGTGTGTACGACGGCGCGGGCACGACGTGCCTGTTCACACACCGAGCACCACGCCCATCTCTCTCTCTCTCTCTCTCTCTCTCTCTCTCTCTCTCTCTCTCTCTCTCTCTCTCTCTGCTTCGTTCTCGTTGTCTCACTCCCTCTCGCTCCCTCTATACTCTTTTGCACAAGGCCATCTCCCCGCTCCTGCCCGCGTTGCACCACTCCGCCGCCGGGTGACCTTTGACCTCCCCGGGGCTCACCTCTGGTCCACCTGTTCGGCAATATGCACCGCCGCCGCCACCACCACCACCGCCGCCTCATCGTGTCCCGACGTCGTTTTCCATTTTGGTTTCTTTGAGCACCGCGCGTCGCCCGTCCTTTTTGTTATTCTCTTACTTCATCCCCCCACGACACAAGGCAGCTCGGTATGATGGCGCCCTGCTTGTGCTTGAAGGCCGTGGCGGACGGCGGCGGACGTTGCAGCAGCAGAGCGTCCAACTGCATGAGACAACTCACTTACCCTCGCGAGCCTGCTCCACGACCATCAAGACATCAACTACGTCACCATGTGCTCCGCCGCCACCACCCCTCCGCCGCCAACTAAACCGTGATTGTGGCGTCATTTCAACAACCGGCGGTGGTGGTGCCGCCCCCGCCACAGTAATGGATCGTTAGGCCTACAGCCCCGCCACCTTCCTCTCGCCAGGTACAACGCGCCCCGCCCCGCCCCGCCCCGCCCCGCCCCGCAGCCCTCCTTGGCCACTTCTTACCCCGCGGCGCAGGAGGGCTGTGAGCGCAGAGGGTCATTATTGGGGCGCTAATGCTCCTCACAATTCATTACACTTCGGCCGCACAGCGTAACAACAAACAGAGCGAGAGAGAGGAGCAGCTCAGTCAGCAAGAGTTGTATAACAAATTAACACAGAATTCGACTACTCTTGTATCACACGGGGAAAGAAGAGTATTTCTAAACTTTTACTTTCAACGCACACAACGAAAACTTTTGTGTGAATCGGTGATATTGATAATCTTGAAATTTCGATAAACTTTGGTACACTGACCGAGTGTTGGCCGCCGCGCCACGCGGCACCCTTATTAATCGAGGTCGTTAATCACTGCCTGGTCGGTACGGTCCAGCGTGGCGGGGCGAGGCGGGGCGTGGCGGGGC